AAGAGATTTAACTGAAAAATACATGATGAAAATAACTGAACTTTTATACCAAAATCCCAAGGACTGGTAGTACAAATCATGAGCTTCTAAGATTTAGAGTTTACAAAGTTGGTATGAAATAAATACATCATCTATTTGAAATATACGTGGACAGATTAAAAATTCTAAAGTTACCAAGAACAAGAGGCAGTTATGACCGGAATGCAAGTACTTCTTCAAATCCAGCTCCCGCTATATACAGCAACATCAGCATCCAAAATCTGCACGCAAGGTGCAGAAGTGTAGTATGAGTACAACCGATCACATGTACTCAATAAGTAACAAATCTAACATTATGTTGAAAGCAGTGACAAGCTTGGACAAATGTTAGAGTCCAACACCAATAGAGAAGAACAATTCCTAACAATATAAGAAAAAAACAGTACAAGCAATGACTCAAAAATATGTTACTCAGCTCGTTCACAGTTACGGAAAAATAGTCATGCTTCTCAAGTATAACAGTAAAACCAAAATCTTTCACCGAAAATACCAAAGTATGTGTAAGTCAGAAAAACTATGATTTTCCCAAAATATTTCAACAATAAATAAGATATTTTATTATCAGATAACATGAGGAAAGTACTTCTTTATGCCTACATGTCAATGTGCACGTGAAATCATGAATGTCTCCAAAACCCGGTAGCATGAGGAAATTCATCTCTATGCATGTATGTCAAGTATGCATGTCAAATGCAATGCATCATATTGATGAACTCATGTACTCACACTCTCAGAGTACTCAATCTCACTGTCTCACACTCCTACTAATCACGCTCAATCACTCCACACACTCAGTCACTCAGCACTGTACAGGGCAGATCCATCCCAAATGCTAATAAATCTTATTGCAGCGTGCAACCCGATTCCATCGTGAATCAATAGAAACCGCGCTCACTGTGCGTGTGTAGACTCCGAAGGGGCAGATCCAGTCCAAGCATTATAATAAGCCAATCATGGCATGAATCAATAAAGCATGCGTGCGTGAAGCTCGATCCCATATATATCACTCACAAACAGACCCTCGGCCCCACTCAGTCACCAATCTCTCCAGTCTCTCGGGCTCACAATGTCATGAAAAGTAGCCCAAAAATGATGATATGATGTATCAATAAATAGCAACAGAGACCGAAATATGATATGTAAATGAATGAGTATGACTGAGTATGTAACTACAATTTAAGCAGATATGACCTCAGTGGGTCCCAACAGAATAAGTATATAGCCTAAACATGGTTTCTAACATGGATCACAACTCAATTACTCTGACATGTATAAATCTCATGGATAAAAACAAGATAGGTAACTACACAGTACCACAGAAATAACTGAGTCATAATTCACACGGTGCACACCCACACGCCCATTACCTAGAATGTGCGTCACCTCAACACCAAACACATAACATATATATTCGGGGTACATACCCTCAGCACCAAGTTTAGAAGTGTTACTTACCTTGAACAAGTCGAATCCAATACCGAGAAAGCCAAACGATACTCTAGAAATACCATCTCACACGTACCGACCTCTGAACGGCTCAAAACTAGCCAAAAGCAACTCAAGAATATCAAATAATGCCAAAGAAAATAAATTCAATCGATAAAGGTGGAATCTTTAATCAAAATCCCAAAGTCAACCAAATAGTCTAACCCGGACCCGCACCTCAGAACCCGACGAAATTCATAAAATCCGATAATCCATTTAATTACGAGTCTAACTATACTATTTTCACTCAAATCCGACTTTGAATCGATGTTCAAAACTCAAAAATTTACTTTATGAAATTTTAGACAAAAACTCCCAAATTTCACTTTGAAATCATCAATCAAATGCCAAAAATAAAGATGGATTCATGAAATATAATCAAAACCAAGTATAAAATATTTACCCCAATCCATGTGATAAAAATTAGCTCCAAAATTGCTCAAATCCGAGCTCCCAACTCAAAATATGACCAAATAAACAAACACTAGATATTATGTTTCGGTCCAGCTGTTCTACCTTATTTCTCGAGCCAAATAATCCCGAAACTCGCTTTTGACACCTCCAATGTATTTCTTGTGGAATCTCAGTCAAGTTAGACTTTTGAATCACTCCATTTGACCTTATAATGAAGGCTATATGTTGGTTTCAATATTTGAAAATAGTGTAGATTTTTAAATACGAATTCAGTGGCAATTTTATAATTAATATAAAAATAATCTAGCAACCCAATTCTTAGTAAAATAATCATAAATTTCTCATACGATGTGAAACTTGATGATTTCAAAATTACAATACGAATCTAATACTTTAATCCAAACAGAAATTTGAGCTCATTTGCTTAATGTGGTACTATTTATGCTTGAAGAAACGACGTCGAAACGTAAAAAACAAGCGCAACACAACCAAAACCTATTCGAAACTCATCCGAGCCCCTCGGGACCCCGACCGAATGTACTAACAAGTACCATAATATAACACAGACTTACTCGAGACCTCAAATCACGCATACCAACATCAAAATCACGAATCGCACCTCAAATCAAACTTAATGAACTTTGAATCCTTCAACTTTCAAAACTCGTGCCGAACCTTATCAAATGAACTCGGAATGAACTCAAATTTTGCACACAAGTCCCAAATGAAATAATGAAGTTATTTCAATTCCCGAAACTACAATATGAACCTGATATCATCAAAGTCAACTCCCGGTCAAACTTATGAACATTCCAAACCTTTAAGTTTCCATCTTTCGCCAAATAGTGTCGAAACCTTCTAGAAATATCCAAATGCTACTCTGGGCATACGCCCAAATCTAAAATCACCTTCCGGACCTAACGGAACCATTAAAACTTTAATCCGAGGTCAAGTAATAAAAAGTCAAACTTGGTCAACTCTTATAACTTAAAACTTCCCAGTTGAGAATCATTCTTCCAAATCAATTTCGAATAACCTGAAAACCAAAACCGACGATTCACACAAGTCATAATACATCATATTAAGTTACTCAAGACTTCAAACTGCTGAATGAAATGCAAATACTCAAAACGATCGATTGGGTCGTTATAAAAACTTGATAACCTTCCGTCAGCGGAGCGTATATTTATTTCAACTAGTGGTGTTAATTTTTCCTTTAATGGCGAAAATTGATATCTTCCTTCAACGAGAAGATCTTCAGCAGCTTGATTGATATTTAAGCGAATTCTTGGTGATCTTGATCTCCCCTTATTTTGGTCCTTCCTTTTTTGTCTTCATTTGCATAGGCTGAAAGATCTTTAGAGATCTTACTCTTCCTTTCCTTTACTCCTTTCCTTTCTTGTCTTCCTTAGTATAGGTTGGCAGATTCTTGGAGATCCTACTCGTCCTTTTCTTTATTTCTAGAATGTACCTGCAATTAGAGAGATATTATTTTTTCATCATTAAAACTTGGATCTAACACAATCAACATGATTTGGTAATTTCTCTTCATCTTTTTCCTTTCTATTTAAAAATATTTGGCTAAGAATTAAGTGGTATGAATTCCTATAGGTTGATCATTCATACTGTGGTTTGCTAAAAGAGGATTTCGGAGTATCAAATTCATGACTTGATTCAATTATGATAATTGTGATCATCTCACTTGTTAAAAATAAACAGAATTCTATTTACTTAATCATGTCTCAATACATCCCCTCACGGTGGGGCCGAACTCCTTTTGCCTAGTTGCCTAGCAGATGAATTCTTTTTTGTATGTTAAACCTGATAAGAAATAGCAAGTCCTCAAATCTCAATACGTAAAATAATAGTACTAAAATATACTCTCTGCGCTTCAATTTATGTGAACATATTTTCTTTTTAATCTGTGTCAAAAAGAATAACCTTTTTCCTTATTTGGAAATAATTTACCTTTATGTAATGATTTACTGCTAGAAGCCCTAATTTACAAAGGAACTTGAAATATTAAATTTAAAAGTCAATACCTTTTTTTATTGCTAGAAGCCCTAATTTATGATTTTATTTTCCAATTCTTTATCTTGTCCGCTAGTTTACTANAGCTCCTGATATATGATCATGTCATTTGGAAAAATATAAAGGAAAATCTCCCTGTTCAAAAACGAAAAAAGAAGGTTGTTTCTGTTCAATTGTAAGTTGTGAATTTGAGAACTGACAGGCTTCTTTTGCTTTCCTTTTTTTTTTTTTTTTTTTTTTTTTTTTTTTTTTTTTTTTGCAAATACAAAGAAAACTTATTCTCTTCCATAACATCAAGTTCAAAGTTCAAATTACAGGTTGTCATCCTTCTTGTGCCTCCATGTAGAAAATTTTATTCTTTTCAACTCAAGTTACTTCTTATTTGTGCTTGTAAGTAGCGTATAATGGATTCTTTTGACTAGTTTTTTGTGGGGATGGAGCGCATTTATATATATTTTTCACTTATTTATAGAGTTTTTCAATTTTTATGCAATTTTACCTATTTAAAAATATTTATTGTAATTATATTATTTTATAAAATATTTAAAATTAAATACTCATGGGATTTACGCCCCGATGCCTCGAGGCTTATGCCTCGCTGAGGCATGTATAAAACGGCTCGTTTTACGCCCACGTATTTTAAAATAAGTAAATAATAAAAGGTTAGTAATCTACAACAATACCACCTCTCAAACAAGTTGGGGTGGGATTAAAGGTTAGTAATCTATTTGGAAAAATTGGCAGGTTGCGAGCATTATAAGTGAATGACTGGCTTAGAGCTCATTACTGTCTTCATAAAACTTTCAACTCTTCAACAACTTTTAGAAAAATGCGAGGTCCTATAGTAAGTATGTCACATGTCTAGTACTACAAGTAATTGAAATAGCAGACATGTGGTAAGCAAACTATCCACCAATAACCCATGGTAGCTCATCAACACAACCTCAAAGTATCATTTAATATGTGTTAGTTAACAACTTCTCTCATTTTGTTAATTACAACAGCATGAAATCATACAATTTGAAACAGGATTCACACATCAAACTGATTTGAAGCTTTGGGAAAGATCTCACATTAAAAAAATCCAAGTTTTTTCCCGTAATGGTACACGAGGTTGATGATTTGTAATCACATTCGAGGATAATAAGCTTGACTAACTAGATGTAATTTAACATTACAATTTAATCAAGTAGTAGCAGTAATCCACTGATCCCCTTGAATGAAACTTTGTACAGAGTAAGAGTTAACATGTTCAGCTGGGATTTGGCTACTCCACGGCACTCGCCCTGCTGTATTAGCTCCGGCACCAGTATTTTTATATTCTCCATAGTAAAGAGTCTTCAACGCGAAATCACCGCTCCAGGGCAACCAGCCATCAGCTAAAACAAGAGCCTCCAAAGTACATTCTATAAAGACGGCCCGCGAATACTCCTTCCATGGCCTTCCCAGATAATTTTTGTGCACCTTGGGCTTCTTGTAGTACAAGGCCATGTATTTGTCTGTTCCATTGATCAGACAATTTTGGAAGACAAAGCCAGTTGACTGTGCAGGGTCTATCCTGCCATGAGCAGTCACAGCATTTTTCTCTCCCTTTTCAGGATTGAGTTGTCGAGGCGCAATTAAGATGTCACATTCTTGGAAGAATGCAGCAGAGTTCCCAAAAATGAAGTCTACATTGCCTTGGATACGGCAGGACTTGTAGTATTGGCGCAATGCATGAGCATATAAGGTGTCTTGATTGCCAATGAATTCACAATTTTCTATAACTGAAAGATCACTGTCTGATCGGAATGCTACAGCTTGGTGGGCATCCGGACCTGCTGTGTTTTGGAAGGTGATGCCACTGGCCATGAATCCATCACCAACAACTCCTGTTTTAGAAGTACAACCGTTAGAACCACCAACGATAAAAGTTCACCAAAATAATGTTATTCAGCAGCAAATGTGATCTGAGAGATTTATCATCACTTTAGTTTTTCTTTTCACTACTTATTTCCAACATCAAGCAGCTTGAACAGTAACATAGAGTTTAAGGCAACGATTTTTGCATTTTTTCCCGACCTCCAAGGCTGCTCTAATGGGTTCAACTGAACCCATTGTTTTTTTGGTTCCATCATAAGTACATATGCTAGAGTGTATATAAGTATATATATAGATTAGAGTCATTCCGAACCCATAAGTATAAATTCTAAATCCGCCTCTGCTACCTTCTTGCTGTCTGCGTGGAACAAGCCCATGAGACAATGGCTATACATCTTCCCCTTTCACGCTAACCAAGTAAAATAAATGCCAGTGGAAAAATAAAGCAAAAAAATATTATTTCTTCTGGTCCACTTTAATTGATTTATTTTTTGTTGCTTTCACACATATTAAGGAAATAACCTTTTAGTATTAATTAACGATGACAATGACCATATTAACCTTAATTTGTGCATTGAAAATATAACAAACACTCCTAGACCCTTTACTCATAGGGCAATTTTAAAAAAAAAAGAAGTTAATTACTTCTTGACATCTGAAAAAATCAAATATTATGAACCATAAAAAAAAAGTGAAAAAAAATTCAGTTAAAGTGGACCAGAGGGATTAGTACATGAGAAAGATTAAGCACATACTTTGACTAGTGGTTAACAAATCCATTTCAAAATAGGTGAGCTTTAAATGCAGACACAACAAAACATTAACAGGCGGCAGACTTGAAGGAGTTCATACATGACAACTTAATGAAAATTATCATGATAAACAAAAAGTTGCTAAAGTGATAACAGCCCCACTACTCCTGTCTTAACTATTATGGAGTTTGATACAAAGAAAAACAGTGGAACACATATGATCTTCCTTAAATAAACTGAATTTTCAATAACTAACTCATTTAAAAAAACATCTTAAATTTCGTATTCAATTAAATTAACTACAGCAATGCATTATGATTCAACAAAATCACTTACCCACAGTTGCAGTTTCATAAGTAGTGACGCCCGAAATACCAATATTCAACGAACCGGTAATAACAGTTTTGCCCATGCCATCACCCAAAAATACCACATTCTTCTTCTCCAACTGGACCCGAACTTTCTCCTCATACAGCCCGGTTTTGATCCATATCACAAACTTCCGGGTCACCTGATTATCTGGTGCAGCATTCACCGCTTCCTGCAGAGTCTTATAATCACAACCTCCTTCCTTGCACACAGTCACATCCGGTTTCAACCCGGATGGCACCCCACCCTTTACTTGACCCGACCCGCCCGAACCCGAACCTTCCCAGAACCCGTCTCGTTCTGTTTTTGGTGGGGTCCATGACCCGGTATTCTCCCCATAAATATCGTAGTTTACCAGCATACCCAATGCATTGCTGCTGTACCCGATTAAAGAGTTTAAAAACGCCATCGTTTGGGACACCTGTGAGGTTCCGTTAACGTACTTTAAAGCGGACCAGCAGTCGTACTGGTAAACCATCACGGCGCTCATCCACGCGCGTGAGTTTTTTAGCTCGCCACGTGTTAATGCCTGACCCGCTAACCCGACCCGGTACTCCGCGTACCCGAGCACCTCCATACACACCTTCGCCGCGTCCGTACGGTTCTGATTCCCTGCGGACGCGTCCATGATTGCCTTCACCATGTCCTTCGCCTTGTCATTGTTCTGTGATGAGACTTTAACGGCGGATTGAATGATTAACGGCGTCGTTGGCTCAGACGGCAAGTTGCCTGAGTCCGTTAACACGGACTCGCACGTTGGTGGGTCCCGCGATGCCTTGCAAGCTCCACGGATCTCAACGGCAATCGACGGCGTCGTGGATAACTTCGGCGAATTGTGGTGGCGAGCGGCGGAGGAGATTGAAAAGAAGAGAAGTAAAGAGAGGAGTGTTAGAATGAAAAATGAAGCCATTGAAATGAAAAGAAACTTAAATTTTCGAAATAGTGAGGGTTTTACAGGTTTTCTGCTATACATGGTAGTGCCCTTTTATACAAACTAGTTGCTGTAAATAATCTCAAAATGCTGTACAATTTCACGAGATAATTAGAATTACTGTGTGGGAAAAAAGGAAACAGAATAATCTCGTGTAAAGGGAGTCAATGGATTTGGTGAATAGCGACGAAATTGAGGAAGGGGGTTGTTGTTCACGGGAGTGAATAGTGATGGGATGGCAATGGAGAAAAAAAGGTTGCAGTGGGAAAAGCACTTTGATTATTGGGATCTAGCAGAATGTTCTTTGGAGTCTTTAGTTTTGGGTTAATTACAGAAGACTTCTTTTTATTTTGGCCAAGCTTTTAAAATTAAATTTTTTTAATTTTTTTTTCAATAAAATATTTTTAGTGAGAAATAATTTGTATTTAATTAATTAATTTAAAAAATACTTTTGAGAAGCAATTAATATTGATGAAACTTTTAAAAAGTATTTTAAATATATTTTTCTCAAAAATACTTTTAAAAAAACGTATTTAAAAGAAGCTATTTTTTTCTACTGCTTCTACTTAAACTCAAAAATATTTTTTTGTTTCTTGCCAAACTTTGGAAAAAAAAAATACTTTTCTCCAAATTAAACACTTTTGGCCAAGAAAAATCCTGACCAAACAGGCAATCAATGACTTTGGTTATAGATTACTTAGGGGTAGATGTAGTTTACAACATGTAGTTTATATGTTATAAATTCATTTGAACTCATATGAATTAGAAATTTCACTAAATAAATATAAATAAAAAAATTGGAACTTATTAAATCAAATGGATTAAACAACAATAACATTCCATTATAATCCACAAGTGAGATCTGAGTAAATCAAATGGATTATGATAAAATTAAACATGAACTAGTAAAATTTAACTTTTGAATCTGTCTCTGAATACCTCAACATATTTGCTTTAATATAGTAAGGTTGCATGTTAAAAAAATAAATTTAAACATATATCTTGTAGTTTTTGGAATCAAACTAGTAAAATTTAAAATTTGAATCCATCACTAAAAATCTTAAAATGTTTGCTTTAATATAATAAAGTTGTTTGTCTAAAAAATATTAAAGACATCTTTTGTAGTTTTTGAATCACAAGGTTTCTATATTTTTTAGAATCACAAGGCAGCCCTTGTACTAGACATTATGTGATCCTATTATCTTAAAATTTAAAATAGTGGGTTCTTTCAAGCACTAAGGACAAATCTCATGTGTTGGGGAGAAGTTGGTGGATATGGGGGCCTGTAAGAGTAGTGGGAATGCGAGTAGTATGTGGACCACTACAGCAAACTACATCATGGAAGCTGCTAGAGAGATGTTAGGGGTCACGAGTGGTTACTCGGGAGGCCACAAAGGAGACTAGTGATGGAATGAAGAGGTCCAGAAAAAAGTGAAAGCTAAAAAAACAACATATCTGAAGCTAGTGGAGAGCACAATCGAGGGGGTGAAGAGGATGAATTTGGAGTGTTATAAGAAGGCTAAGAAAGAGGCGAAGTTAGCGGTCACGGTAGATAAGAGTGCGATTTTTGGACGCTTGTATGAGGAACTTGGGGGCAGAGGTGACAAGAGATTGTACAGGTTAGCCAAGGTTTGAGAGAGAAAGGCTCGGGATCTGGATCAAGTGAGGTGCATCAAAGATGAGAAATGCAAAGTATTGGTGGACGAGGCGTGTATTAGGCGAAGGCGACAGACTTACTTCCATAAACTCTTGAACGATGATGGGAACAAGAACCTCGTTCTTGGTGAATTGGAAAACTCAGAAAGTCCACGAGATTTTGGGTTTTGTAGACGTATTAAGGTTGAGGAGGTTGAGGGGGTGATGTGGAAGATGAGCAGGAGAAAAGCAATCGGAAAAGACGAGATCAAGGTGGAATTTTGGAAAGACATGGGCCGAGCAAGCTTGGAGTGCCTTACTGGATTGTTTAATATCATTTTTAGAGCGAAAAAGATGCCCGATGAATGTAGGTGGAGTATGATGGTGCCATTGTACAAGAATAAATATGATGTCCAAAATAGCAACAACTATAGGGTATCAAGTTGTTAAGGCATACTATGAAAGTTTGGGAGTGAGTGGTGGTGAGGAGGGTGAGGAGAAATATGTCTATTTTTGAGAACCAGTTCGAATTCATGTCGGGACAGTCAACTACAGAAGCTATCCATCTTGTGAGGAGGTTGGTAGAGCAATATAGGGAGAGGAAGAAGGACTTGCATATGGTGTTCATTGTTCTAGAAAAAGCCTACGACAAAGTCCCGAGGGAGGTTCTGTAGAGATGTTTGGAGGTTAGGGTGTTTCAATGGCGTACATTAGGGTGATTAGGGATATGTACGATGGTGTAACGACCCGACAATGATCGTTTTGAGATCTAGCGTGCCGTTCAGCGGTTTGAGACCTTGAGTAGCTTCACTTCATGTATATGACTTATACGTGTGGTCGGTTTATTTTTTAGGAAGTTAGGAGTTGATTTAGAAGGATAATTCTCAATTCGGAAGCTTTAAGTTGGAAGAGTTGACCAAGATTTTACTTTTGAGTAAACGACCTTGGAATCAGGATCTGAAAGTTTCAATAGGTTTGTATGATGATTTTGAACTTGGGCATATGTTCGGATTGAGTATTAGATGGTGCGGCAGCGTTTCGACATATAATGTAGAAAGTTAGCATTTTGAAGGTTTTAGAATTTCCTAAGTATAATTTGAAGTGGGCTTTGGTGATATCGATGTCAGTTTGGGATTCCGAGCCTTGGAATAGATTCGTATTGTGATTTGTAACTTTTACGTAAAATTTGGCATCATTCGGGAATGTCTAAGTGGGATTCCGACGTGTTCGGCAAAGCATGAAGGCTTGAAAGTTGAGAGAGTTTAAGAAATTGAGTATGATCTTCAATTCTTGGTTTTGATGTTGTAATTCGTGTTTTGAGCCTTTGAACAAGTTTACATAAGGTATATAAACTTGTTAGAATGATTGGACGAGGTTCCTCAGACCTCGGGTGAGTTTTTGAGATGGTTTCGGACCACTTTTAGGCCATTTTGAACTGCTGATATCTGATGCCAAGGGTGAAAATCGTGATCGTGGAGGTCTGGGCCGTGATCGCGTAAAGAAAATTTCATTCCAGGACATATGAATAGCGATCGCAGAAGGAAGGTCGCGGTCGCGTAAAAGGAATTTCTATTGTCAGTGGTCTGACTTAGGGAGCTTATATCTTGTAATCTGTAAGAAATTTGGGGATGATCCAAAAATAAAAGTTGTATCTCTTTGAATCTAGTTGAAAAGGTCCTCAGCGGTACTATTATGTCATCGGGTCATTCGCCACTGCAGGAATTTGTGCCTTTACTCTTATGAGATCGGGTCGCGCGCCTCGACAGAATCATGCGAAATACTTGACAAGGAGTCCGCGTACTCATAAGTTTTCCTGACTTGAGATGTGACCATTGATTTGGTGATGACCATTACATATTCCATTTGAGGAGGTATCCGGTATTTGAGGACTTTAAGTTCACTGTTCAGTCGTAGACTGTATTATTTGCCTATATTTGTTCTCGCTGTTCACTTACCATGTTTCATACATATCTACTTTACTGTATTTGATTTATTGGATCACTAGTAAGTGTCAATGTCAACCCATCGTCACTACTTCTTCGGGGTTAGGCTAGATACTTATTGGGTACACGTTGATTTATGTACTCATGCTACACTTATGTACTTATTGTGCTGGTATATCTCTGATGTTCATTTGGGCGCAAGGGCGCAACTATTGAGGAGACTTTTGTAACGACCCGACCAGTCGTTTTGAGCTTTAGCGTTTCATTCGGTGGTTTGAGACTTTGAGTAAATTCATATTATGTATTATGACCTACGTGTGTGGTTGATTTCGGTTTTCGAGCGGTTCAGAATTGATTTGAAAGAATGATTCTCGTTTTAGAAGCTTTAAGTTGGAAGAGTTGACCAATATTTGATTTTTGGGTAAACGAACTTGTAATCAAGTTTTAATTATTCCAATAAATTTGTATGATGATTTTGGACATATATAAAAAGTTTGGTTAAATTTCGATGAGTTTTGGATAAGTTTGGGTTGTATGGTGATTATTTTTTGTTTCGACGTCGATTTAAGCATAAAGGTTACCATATTGAGCAAACAGTCTTTAATTCGTATTTCGACTAAACTATTATATCTGTATCATATTTTGGAACCATAGCAACTGAAATCATCAAGTTTCGACATCGTATGAGGAATTTATGGTCATTTTACGAAGAATTGGGTTGCGAGATGTTTCATATTAATTATGAAATTGCCACTGAATTCGTATTTAAAATCTGCACTATTTTCAAATATTGAAACCAACATGTCTCCTTCATTATAAGGTCAAATAGAGTGATTCAAAGCCTAACTTCACTGGAATTTCACGAGGAATCCATTGGATGCATTAAAAGTGAGTTTTAGGATCGTTTGGCACAAGAAACGAGGCAGAACAGCTGGACGCTTTTTGTCATTAATGTTGTTGGAGTTTTTCTCATCCTGAAAGTTCGAAATTGGAAGAATTCAAGGATATTTTTCAAGTTTCTTTCATGGGTTTCGAGCCGTTCAGAAGATGATTTGAGCGGGATGGTGCTCTAGTGTATCAATTGGACTTGTTTGAGGTAAGTAACTTTCCTAACTTTGTGTGGGAGAAATTACCCCTTAGGATTTGGGTTGATTGTGCTATTTGTATTCTGTGAAGGCCGTGTACGCAAGGTAACGAGTGGGTACACGGGCTATATGTCGTGTTTGACCGGTTTAGATTATCTAGACGCTTTTCATGCCTTTAATTGAATTGTCATAACATTTATATATCTCATTGTTAATCTATTCTTACATGCTCTATTTGGCGTTGTTAGCACTTATTCTACCTCTTACTTATTATTTTGCTTTTATATACTTTAATTGAAGTTATTGACTTCCTTATTGTCTTGTTACCTCTTAATTGTTGAATCACTTTTAATTGAAGTTGTTATTTCGTGAAATATCATCTTGTTGAGTTATTGGTGTTGAAATTTGTCACGACCCAAAATCCCAACCTGTCATGATGGCGCCTATCTCGATACTAGGCAAGCCGATAATCTCAATAAATCAAAACTTCTTTTTAAGGTTGAAAATATAATATTTAAATACAATACAAACACTCCCCAAAACCTGGTGTCACTGAGTACATGAGAATCTAATATGAATATAAGTCTAGAAAATATAGTCTATAATAGTCTGAGATCAAATACGGTAAACAAAAA